CGATTTAAAAGTTGATTGCTTTTTGAGAAAGAAAAATAATATTGTAAGTACTTTTAAATTGAATACCTATATATAGGTAGGTACTTCAGTACACTATACAATTTAAAAATTTAAAAATAAATGTTATATTGAAGATGACTGAATCACTCAAGCTATGAACATTAAAAAATAATAAATTACTTTTATGAGAATTTCTCAAATCTCGTAGTCTAATATTGTAGTCTAATAGCTGAGATTCAAGTAAATTAAATAATGTCATTACAATTTCCTAGAATAAAGTAGTACTTACATGAGAATATTGTAAGTGATGACTCGTGTGATTTATTAATTTATGTAATGACTTATTTATAATTCAGATACTCGGATTAGTCGGATTTGATTAAAACTCGAACAGAACAATGCAATAATTAATTAAGGTAACATAATAAAATGTATGTATTCAAATTCCAACTAAACTCGAACTCAGAAACGCGAATTAATTCCCCGAAGCACTATATACCCTTTAAGCCTAACAGATAAGTTTCGTCCCTATATACTATACCTACGAAAACTTGAGATTCGATTTAAAAATTAATAATCCGACGACGGTGCAAATTCTAACTTAAGACACGTTATAATAAACTATCGATACATCGCATTAAGGTGACAAAAACAAGGAAAATATATAAAAACAAAAATATGTACGATTGCAATTAATGTAAAATATGCAATACACGAATTTTGGTACGATGAACAAATTGTATACATGTTCTACAATAATGCAATTATTCAAAATCCGATTTAAAATCTTACTCAGGTCGGGTATATAATATAATATATTATTTTACACGTCCGTCGGACAAACGCCGTTTATACGTTATATTATGATTATGTCACCGTACGGCGGCGGGTAATACATTACATGTTGTATAATGCGTCGCAGGAGAGTACAGCTGCTTGAAAGTGGATCTGCTGTTCAAGCGCGAGTTCAGTTACTACCTGATCCAGATCTACATACCGTGCTGCATGTTGGTGATCGTGTCGTGGGTGTCGTTCTGGCTGGACCAGAGCGCGGTGCCTGCACGCGTGTCGCTGGGCGTCACCACGCTGCTGACGATGGCCACGCAGACGTCCGGTATCAACGCGTCCCTGCCGCCCGTGTCCTACACCAAGGCCATCGACGTGTGGACGGGCGTGTGCCTGACCTTCGTGTTCGGCGCCCTGCTCGAGTTCGCGCTGGTCAACTACGCGTCCCGGTCGGACACGCACAGAGACGACATGAGCAAAAAGTGCGACCTGGAGCGCACCGTGTCCATGGACGTCGGCGACTACGAGGACGGCCCGAACTCGTTCAATATGGTGAGGTCGAATAGTACGGTGAGCATTGACCGAGCGCGGAGAACTCGGTTCGTTCGAAGCGCTTCATTTACTTTCCAGCTTTTTCATTTTTTTCGTTTTTTCGTTTTTTTTTACCTAATTACTTTTTTTTCAAGTTTCGTTCCCTTTTAATTTTGTATTCATAATATTATTATACATTTTACAACGTAATAGGTAGCGACGTTATTATTATTAATTTTTGTTTCGACTCGTTATTGTTTTATCGTACCACGGACAAGTTACTTTCGATGGTTTTAGATTCAAACACACACACACACACACACACACACACACACACACATGCTCCAGCAGACTCTTGAAGATTAACAAATGCATTCCGCCATTCAGTCTTAAATAATTTCTTTGCTAACACTCCTCCTCCAGCCACCACCACAACTACTACAAGTCACTACAACCCTCCCGAGTGTTTGGATACTATTTTAATTCCGTATTCGTTCGCCACACAAGCTGTGCCTTTTCGGCGAGTACTGCAATAAAGTAAATAATAATTCATCTCTTTCCCCGTCCAAGTTGCATTATAAAATGGTTATTTTCACGGAAAACGCGCATATTATTAAACCAATTAACTTCTCTCGACACTCCGTTCAGGCAAATTCAAGACACTGCTGCAGTTATTAACATTTAATATTACGCTCTTATTTTTCTCCGCCGTCCTTACGATTGTTATTGGTGAAACCGGTATCAACTTTGGATTTTAAACGTCATTTTATTTTAGATTTTTAAACTGAATATAAAAATGTTGTTTAATATAAGTACATACAAGCGTGTCAAATTTTTTTTTTTGTTAATAGCCATCGTTCAATGCTTAAAATATAATGGTGCAATATAATAAAATGGTTGCGCGAAAGTTCATATTTATTTTTGTTAAATAATTAATGTCCTGCAGTGTTGGAAAAGTCAGGCTGTAGATATGTGCATCGGTTCTAAATGAAAAATTATCTTTACAAACCATTTCAACACGCGATGTTCATAATATTGAAATATATACAGCGATAAAGCAAAATGAAAATATTTTATTCCATTATATTATACTATGATCAATGATCACCGTGTGATAATATTATATATTTGCCAATACACCAGTGTTGTATATTTATTCTCGAAAGTGGGTAAAATTTTCCGTATTAGTTGATCGAATTATTATGGTATTGATTTTCTGATATTATTATTAATAATTTATTATGAACAGACCAAACACTCTACAAAACGGAACACATTTAATTGCTTAAATAAAAGATTTCAACAATAAGATTTCGTTAAATGCTTTTTTCTTCTTTAACTGATTGGACCAACCTATTGATAAACATAGAAACAATCAGTGAGATTAAAAACAAAAAACATTAAAACACAATAATACAATAATGCCCAACACGATAATGATATACTAAACTGTCGGTTGTTATAGTTCAAGTTTAGAAACATACTGTAGTGCACTTATTGGATTCATTTTATTATTTATTTGCTCCCGAATCCAAACCCACCTCACGACATTTTAAACACTTAACATTWTTAAACTGTTTATTTATGCATTTACCGATGCTGCAGTATTTCGTCATACCTGTAATCGTTTAATTTTATTCAAGTATAATTTGATTTTAGTTCTTTGACTATATTATTATAATTTGTTTACAAACGCATTTTTCATTATTTATTTTCAAATGAAAAGCTGGGAATCAATGTTTGCATTATCCGCATGGTCTGCATCCTTTAGGTGAACAGTTTCTAGGGCGACATGGCACCGCCTCCTCTCGACATGTCGTAAATTTCAAGGAAATWAAAAAAAAAAACGAACTTTTCGATACCCAATACGCGTATACTGGCACACGATTTTGTAATCAAAAATCAAAAATAATTAACTAACCCGACTGCAATATTTTGTAAACTATATTTTATCAGATTTTCCATTACGACGAGAGGACTGGTCACAGAGTGCGAATGTCGCACGGGAACTGTCCGTACACGGTTAATGCGAGAGCTTGGCACTAGTCCGAATGTTTTTTACAAATTTTTTTAATTTTTTTTTTTTTTTTTGAATCAACCGTATCAATGACGAATACGTACTTTTAGGTGCATTCGTATTAAATATTATTTAATGTAGGTAAACGGTATTTCGAAATCATAATATGYATARGTATATATTATAATTATATACAGTTGCGCACACAGAGAGAAATCCTTGACTTTAGTTCTCAAACCGATCTGAAACAACAGTATCTAATTTCAAGTCGAGATGATTTCTGACAATTGCAAAAAAAAAAACCAAAACYAGCGACTAATTTTAAAATTTATCAATAATAAGGAAATAGCGTTGGTAAGTATTTTACACTGCAGTGAATTAATGTTGCTGAATTATTTAAATTTTATTTGAATCAAAAATTTTAATATTTCTTATTTAACGCCTACACGGGGTGTAGATGAGCTTAACAAATATAATATAAAATCAATTTCTCGGCAAAAAAAATGTCTGGGTGCGCTACTGGTATGTACCTACATGGACATCGCCCATGTTTCCGCTAAAATCATAACTTTTCCTTTTTTGCCATCATTCGTTTCCGCTAAACGAGATTACGGCCAATTCCCTTTAATATAATTACAGTTAAAAAAAAAAAATTGATAAAGTAATATGTTTATATTACTTATGATGTTTCATACACATAGTAATAATATGTTATATAATTTATTTATAGATACCTATTTCTTCAAACAATTGGATTTGAACGTGTATTCAATTTTGTGTATATTTCTAGTATTTGGATATTTTTTAGACACAAAATCGGTTTTGCGTGTCATAAGAGCATGACACAACATATTATTATATGTATGAGTATTAGTAAACTATAGTTGAAGACTTGAAGTCACAGGGTTTATTTATTCATTTTTACGCACAGACAATTGAAACGACTGATATAGATCGGTAATATTTTGATGATATTTGTTATTATTTTTATGATTTMTATAWTTCTATTTATATAACATAATTATGGCTAAGCATGAATTATATTATCAAACTTCTATATTACTTAAATTTAAATGTTTAGGAGCATAATTTAAATTCACTATTCCTATTGTCWTCCAATCGTTTGAAATGCTGAAAGCTCGTTAATAAAATTTAATACTTTGAAGGTATGAGTCTCATATCGCTGGGAAAYGGAAATGTTTACGATTCTAGCGGAAAATGGTAATAAACAGTAACGTATACAGAGATCCTTCAATACCGATTATGCAATAATAATTTATAYTYTAATATATTTCCTAATTTATTTGGAAGGTTATGACAATCGGTTTTATTTTAATATTTATTAAATCGGAACGTCGCCTGTATACGTTACTATAGGTTTTTGGAATTTTTTTTTTTTACTTTTTCATTCTCCGCGAGGAGAAAGGCTTGCAAAAAAAAACAATTCCAAAACGCCCCCCGGCCTGTATAACGCGCACATCAAGGCCCGTCGTCGTGGTGGAAAAACGACGWTTAACGAGCTTTTCGGTGCGCGCGCGCCGTGTGTTTCCGCAGAAGCCGCTGATGCGCCCCGAGCTGATGATGTCCCGGGACAAGATGAGCCAGATCATTCAYCAGGCACCGCCCATGGAGAAGAACTCGTGCTGGAAGTCGTGGATGTCCAAGTTCCCCACCAGGTCCAAGCGCATCGACGTCATATCCCGCATACTGTTCCCGATGGTGTTCGCCATGTTCAACATGTCCTACTGGTCCACGTACCTGTTCCGCGAAGGCGTGGACGAGGACAAGTAATTCGTCACGCCGAGTCCACTCTGTCGCAGACCGTCGTATTATTATRTTTTAATTTTAATTTTAATTATTGTCGCACCACGGCACACAACAATAATATTATCATCATAAAAAGACGCACGCGACCTCGCGTTTTGTGTATAATATTCGGATTTCCGTTTCGCATCAAATGATTATTATTTCCATTACGATCTATTTTTGAATTCCTTTTAATTTTTTTGTTTATTT